TAGTAGTAGTAGTAGTAGTAGTAGTAGTAGTAGTAGTAGTATTAGAAATTAGTTTCTGTGAATGATTTATTTTAATTATTTTCTAGTTGTGTGAATTGAGTTCACTGTTCCTGTAGACTCAGTTTGTTCTCCGTGTTTTGCAGGGTAATAAATCGCCTACACGACAGCAGAAATGCCCAAAAAGAAAACTGGAGCCAGGAAAAAGGCTGAGAGCCGTAAAGAGAGAGAGAAACTGAACCGAGCTAATCGGGAGCAGGTTGACGTGGCCAAACATCCTTGTAACTCCAACATGGTATGGAGACACTACTGCTGTTTTTTCCAGTAACACTGTGTGATCAGAGTTATATTTCTAACTTTAGTGCTCTATTGTGTTTTTGTAGGATTGTGACAAATGTCAAAGGTGAGTATTACCACTGATTCAGGTTGACTTTAATAGATAAACTAATTAACTTACTGTGGTTCTGCTGTTATGTCATATTAGAAAACAGAAGAACAGAGCATTCTGCTATTTCTGTAACTCAGTGCAGAAGCTGCCTGTCTGTGCTCAGTGTGGTGAGTACCCTGCTCTGCAATGAACTATCTATAAGGTTCTTAGATAATTAACTTCCTGTCTGTGTCTTAATTCATGGGCTGTATCTTCATGAGTACGTAGCCCAGCTTGGCCACGTCCTTCCTTGTCTGGGTAGGCTGCATAAAACTGCTGTAAAATGAGACGGTCTAGCCTTCGCTTTGATGTAAGTTTTCATGACTACGTGCTTCTACCAGACTTAAAATGCGTTGTGACATGTATTTACACGTCTTTTCACTGGAAGAATAACGTTGCAGTCAAAACATTCCATGTAAATAAATAAACAACATTAATAATTTGGGTTTATCTTCAGTATCAGTACTTGTAGTTGCATTTTATTTAACATCTTTTTGCAGCATACATTTTATCAGCTAAGTTGCTAAGCTTACATTTAAAAACAAATTCTTCGGTCCATGATAAATTTCCAAACTACGCCGACTTGGTAAAAAAAAAAAACTCCACCGTCTTCGTTTCTCTGTTTAGTTTGTGGTCAGTGCATTGAATCCTGGGATATCCTCGGCTGGGAAGGATACTCGGATGCATCCTTGATTTTTCAGATTTTGTGGGCTGCGTTCCTCTGCGCATGAAGAGGAGCCTTCAAATTGGGACAGCACTCGTTGCGAAATAAGCATTCATGAGCATGCAGCCCATGAACTGAGACACAACCCCATCTTTGTAATATCTTATGCAGTCTCTTTTAATTACTCTCAAATCCCTTGTTTAATTATATTACGTATTAAAGCATAGCCTTCCAAATGACAAAAAAGACACAAATATTTATAAAAACAAGCCATGTTTGTGCAGTTCAGGCAAAAATGTTTGAGATCTTTTTGACATTTTCAGTCTTTTTTCCCTCTCATGTTTATTACACAAATATTATTTTATAACAAGATAAAAACAATTGTGTCAGTTTTGAATTAGGGATTCTAGTTGTTATTTCTTCAGAGATGTTTTGCAGAATTCAACTCCAGATTGCTAGATCTTTTCAGGACTTGTATACAAAAAGTTGTTTCAAATGTTGAGCTTTTTCTTTGACTGATTTCCTGATCACTCAAAATGAAAATTTTATGTTTTGCTTTTGTTTATTTTATTTTTCCACTGCTCTTCAGACTAATATTTAAGAGACAGGTAAAAGCTAGTTTTTTAAGGCATAGGAAAAGTAAAACGTGAAGCTATATGAACTGTTGTTTGAGTTGATGCTTTTATGTTGTTTATTTTTTTTTTTTAATTTAGTATTGTTTTGTAAATTATGTTTCATTTGAATATATTCTGGGGATAAAATGGGTAGACATTATAAGATTTATTCTTCTTCTGCTACATTTCATTTTATTTTGATTTTTGATTTGTGTATTTTCTTTGTTTTTTATTGTAAATAGTTATTTTTTAACATTTTGAATTGAATATATATACAGTATTCTCTGTGGTAGAAAACAACCCAAAAAATCAAAAGAATGAGGGTAGTAGTAAGAAGATGCTCAGTACCTGGTTCCATCCACACTCATCCTTTTACTTTAAGGCTTAAAACTGCAAACTCTCTATGACACTCTACTAGTATAAGTGCTAAATTATACATCAATAAAATCTTTATCTTGCCTTTAAAAGTAACAAGAGTGGAGCTATAATCTCATTTTATTAAGCTAATAAATGTGCATTTTTAATGTTTTCAGGTAAGACCAAGTGTATGAAGTCTTCAGATTGTATCATTAAGCATCCGGGGATTCACACCACTGGAATGGCCATGGTGGTGAGCTCTCTACAACACTTTTCCTACTCTTAGACGAACATGGCACTAATAAATGTTCCCTTCTGATCCAGCCTTGGTTTATAACTCACCCATCTATTTTCTGAAGAAATATATTATGCCATGTTGTAGCGTTTAGGCAAAAAATATCTAAATTGTGGATAGATCCTTTTATCAATACGCATCTGTTTTCTGTTGTTTAGAATGATGTTTAATAATTTAAACCTAATTTTGTTAAAAACATACATGTGATCTTTACTGAGCAAATTGCTCACAGCAATTACTGTAGTGTGCTGCAGGTTTTAATTTTTTTCCTATGTGGTTGCATTGAATTGCAGCAGTTGAAAGGCAAACGCAAAACCCTTTTTGCTCTGTAATTCTTCTTTTATCCTCAAGGGGGCAGTGTGTGACTTCTGTGAAGCCTGGGTTTGCCACGGTAGGAAATGTCTGAGCACTCATGCCTGCGTGTGTCCCCTGACTGACGCGGACTGCATCGAGTGTGAGCGAGGCGTCTGGGATCATGGTGAGACACTCCCTTCCGGCTGCAGTAAAATCAATCTGGCACATTCCCCCATCAAACAATAACAACAACAACAACAACAACAAAATGACAACAGGCAATTTCAACTTCCTAAATAGGGGGTCGGATTTTTCGGTGTTCCTTCTGTCAGAACTTCCTTTGTGAGGATGATCAGTTTGAACACCAGGCAAGCTGCCAAGTCCTTCAGGCGGAAACTTTTAAATGTGAGTCAATCAGCTGTATTCTATTTGTTTTGTTCTCTTTTTTTTTTTTGCGGTTAGGTGAAAAGTAAACAGAGTATTTATTTTCATAGAGATGATTAACCTGAGGGTATTTGTGCAGTGAAGAATGTGTGAATGTAATTTTGGCTTTTCTCATGATTTATTTTAGGCGTTTCCTGTAATAGACTGGGACAACACTCATGCCTGCGCTGTAAGGTGAGAACGCATCAAACATTTTCACTCACACAATGCAGTGCAGGAGGCTAACTGGGTCAGAGAGTTACCGGATAGGCCTGACCTTGTCTGCTCTTTAAATAGCACCAAGATATAGTTTATTTTTCTGTAAAAAAACTTCATCTATCTTATCAGCTTGCCTCACAACTACGTTTAACAACAAATAGCCCACATTTGTTTCACTTGTAATATGAATTTGAATTAATCTGGAACATCCACTTTTGCTTTCAATTTGCTCTGAAATATTGCAGGCATGCAGGTGACTAAACAAAACTTAAGATCATAGCAGTCCTCTAAACAATAGCATAGAAGCATGACCAGAATCTTTTTTTTTACCTTGTTCGTGGGGTCACAGCTGTGGGAACAACAGATAATAATTATCTGCCGAAAGGTCTTCATTATCTAACATCCGTTTTAAAGGTCTGATTTGTTTACATTTATAGCTGAACACACAACCTAACAAACTCCTACTCAATCCAGTCTTAGGTTAAAAATAATTCTTCCTCTTTTGTGATGGAGTTTTCCCCTCTTGGATTACTGTGATATTATGGAAGTATAAGTAAGTATTAAGTAGTAGTAGTAGTAGTCAGTATGGTTTTTGATATATATGAATTAATATTTGTCGAATTAAATGTGCAGAACAACTGTCTTCAGGACTACACCGCCATGATTTTTTGTAAAAACTGGTCATTGTAATATTTTATCTTTACCTGAATGAGCCAACAGGAATGCTTTTTGAATACAATAAAGTAGTGGTTCAGATCTTTTGAAAAAAGTGAAGAAAGTGTAAAGGTGATGAAAACTGTTTCTCATCTGTTGCAAATAGGTCTTTGAATGGCCTTAGTTGAAGAAACACAATTACATTCAAATTGAGATGATTTAACACTTGCTGTTTTTCCCCCTTTGGAAAAAAATCTTTTGCACATTCTAGTGGTCTTTGTTTGCTATTGCAGTTTATTTTGAAAGGATTAAAAAGTGAAAAATATGCTCAAGGGTGAGCTTAGATTTACTGTCAAATATGTGCACTCCCATTAACATTGCTCCAAAAAAAAAAAAAAAAAAAAACGAACCAAAGCATCTATTTCATTAGATGGTTTTTCAGCTCCAGGACTTGGCTTGAATAAACTTTAGTACACTCAAGTACCTGCTTTGTGGAGACTGTCATTTTTTAAAGCAAAATAATAAGGCCCTTAACTTAAAATGCCCGTCTCTAGTTTTAAAGTGGCAGCAAACCCCCTTGATCCCGCTTATTTTAGCTATGAAATCGTCAATCTGATAATAAATACCTTCCGTTTCTTCAATCCCAGGCCATTCAAAGATCTAGTTACAGCAGGTAAGATATTAATTGTTCATAACCTATGAAAATAACTTCACTTCAAAAGACCTGAACTATCCGTTTAATGGTTTATGGAGTAAAAAGCAACAGACCCTTTCACTGGAAAGTTTGTCTAAAAATGATGAGTGGATTCACATGGCTTACTTAAGTACTGAACTGTTGCACAATTTATGTGTGACTGAAGAGGCGCTCAACCTTTGGACACAGTTCTCGTACCAAGCAGCAGCTGTAAGGAAAAAACAAAAGGAGTAAGTTTCTCTGTTTTGGCAACCAACTAAATAGTAAACCACCAGTGTTTTTCAGTTATACATTCATTTGGGAAAAAGGTTTTGCAGATGTTTACTGCAGCTGAAACCATGAAGAATTAGCGTAGCTGTGGTACGGTGCAGAGTTTGAAATGTTGCGTGGTGAGCACAAACTTGAGAGTACTGTAAACCTTTCTGTCCAGGCCCTATTTTGGCTTAAACTAATTTATTTGTTTTGGATCCAGACTCTGGGGAAAAAAAAGTCTCCTGCTTTAAATGTCAGGAGGAAAAAGTGTCAACAAAAGTGTGAAAGTAAAATTGCAATGACAAACATGTAAAGGGTGAAAGAAGCACTGTTGCACAATAACACTGATTAACTTAAAGTGCATCAGTCAGCTGAATCACCTGCCGGCCTTTAGGCTTCCACATACTTTATTGCATTCTTTATGGCATTTGCAACACTTCCACCTGACTTTGACTTGAAAATGAAATGAAAATGCAAACATGTTTGCAGGCTTGTTACTGTGACGACCACGCCAAGAGCAAGGTCTTCAAACAGGAGAAGGGCAAATCTCCACCGTGTCCAAAGTGTGGACATGAGACACAGGAGACAAAAGACCTCAGCATGTCCAGTAAGTCTTGTAGAAATCTTTTTTGAAAACTACAGTTTCGTTCCCTAAAAGCTGCCATTTCTAGCAAGTCATTTTCCACTTCCTTGTTAAGTGCTTCTGAAAACGAAACAAAAAAAGGATTTCTTTATTGATGTGCTGCTTTCTCATAAAGAGACCTTTTCTGAGAAGATCATGCAAGGGTATGGACAAACAACTTGGTCTAAACAAACCTGTGTGTGTGTGTGTATATATGTGTATATATATATATATATATATATATACATATTTCAATGTATTCATTTATATTAATTCCGATTTGCTGAACCTGACTTTTTTTGTTATTTTGTAGTAGGCTCCTATACCCTTTACATATTTCTATTAGTTTTGCTTCCAATGTTGTCTACATGTCATATGGTTGACTACTTGTGCTTGTCTTTAGACCATGTTATACCTCTTTCTGGTCATGCCTTGTTCTGGTCCTAAGAATTTACACCTGCATATGTTTGCTCTTTTTCAAATTTCCTGCTCTGCATCACCTTTTCTTTATTAAAGTCTGTTTTCAGTTTTACTGCCCTGCTTCAATATTGCAACTCTGCTGCATACTTTTTGGGTCTATACCACTCTGCTTCCTCATATGCCTCTTTTTCTGGATAATTTGGAGGGGTGGGGTGTGTGGGGGCAGGGGCTATCCTTGTGTTATGCCTACTTTATTGATGGTTCCTAAACATGTGTTAGTCTATAGTTTATTTTATTTCATTTATTATTTATTTGCATGGGGACAAGTGTTACAATACAGAACACTATTAATATTTATAGCCTTAGCTAGTTTGCAATGCTCGTCCCCAGAAGGGCTTTTAACAATACAAAGTTTAAAAACAATAAAACAACATGGAAGATAAAATATCATACAATACAAATCATAAAAACACTTAAAATATACCAGAACAAAATTAACAAGCCATCTTAAAATCATCACAGTTTAATGTTAACGGTGACTACAAATCTGGTCATTTTTAAGAAACACCTTCAGTTAATCTAAAAATTATCTAAAATTATCTTCTAGTCTAAAAATTTCACTTTGCCTTTTTAAGTTAATTGTGATCCTGGAAATTTGTCCAACGTTTTTATGTTCTTGAAGCCAAATAATGTAGTCCGATAATTCCCAAACTGTGGGATACAAGTCTACTCTAAGAATCAATTATATGCAAGTTGAATAAGTGTCTAGCAACTGATTCACTTAAACTGTATTTATTGTTGCAAATCTGCAGTTTTAGTTCAGCAAAAATCTGAATCCTGTCCATCAACTTAGTGAAAATTAGTCCATCCCATGGATCCAGAGCATTGATTATCTTCTACTTTAACCAGATAACACATTCACAATGATATATCTGATAACACTGACAGGAGAGCTCAGGAGGAGCGAGCAGCCAGAGGATAAACTCATTAACAGGCCTTTGAGACATCTTAGGTCGCAGCTCATTAGTGCGTCCAGGTCTCAGTGGAACCTGTTGGACACCTGTAGATGCTTCACAGCAGTTTTCATCATAACCCTGTGTCAAAACAGAAATACATTAAAAAGGCCCTTGAATGTGACAGCTTCTTACCTGAATGGGACATTGTTATGGTGTCGTTGGCACTATTGTATATGACGACGGCGGACGCGTTGCGACTTGCGACGTTCCGGATTTTCTCCCGGTCCGTGCAGTTCCCGGCGGCCACGAGCGCCACCCAGGCGGTGCTCTGCATCTGCGGCGCGGGCGAGAACCTGACGCCCGCGTCGCACGCCTGTCTGTCCTGCTGGAGGGCCGGGAGCAGCACCTGTCCCCGGGCTTCCCTCTTGGGCGAGTGCTCGCCGTAGCGACCGCACTCCGTCTTCTCTGTTTTAATCTCCATGGCGCCCGGGTCCAGATAGGTGATGTTGACAAAAGCCGTGTACCACTCCTCCTTCTCCGCCACTGTGAAGTCCAGGCAGAGCAGGTGGACGAAGCAGAACGACAGCAGCCACGTCGAGAGAGCCAGACTGCGGCAGGCTCGGATGAGGGACGGAGCCATGGTGCGACCGGCGGCCGCTCGGAAGCAGCTGGTGTCAGCCCCTAAGCTCGCATCACGAAGCCCGCCGCTCCCCCCCACACACACCTTAACAGGACCCGAAACTCACGTAAAATCCAGGGCCAGCTAGGGGCCAGGCCCCGTATACGAGTTTGTGTTCGGTGGGAGAAGCCGCTGTGCATCATTAGGAAAAATGTGCACACTGTTGTGGTTCACTTTCAGCTGGATTCAGTCCTCGCTCAGGATTGGCTGGTTGATGAGCTTCACGTGACCTGGGCGTGCCTTGAGCAGACGCCCACAGTCACGTGATAGGCAATAATAAAGAGTAACAGGGAGGATTTTGTATCAAAATAGTGTTAATCAAAACACAAGATAAGCAGAGTTTTAAACTGATCAGTTTTATCAACTTGCTTTTGATCCATTCATGAAAAATACAAATAAATAAACGTGTTGAATACAGGTGATGTTTAAATTAGTGAACAAATAATGCATCTATCTATCTATCTATCTATCTATCTATCTATCTATCTATCTATCTATCTATCTATCTATCTATCTATCTATCNATTATTAATTAAAAACCTAGCATTAATTGAAAGCTTGCATTTTCCTTACAAATACAAATGATTACTTTCAGAAAGTTTCATTAAAATCTATCAAGTTTTGGGTAGGGTTGACTCCAAACGTTTTATGCAAAAATCTCACACACGGAGTAGCACTTGGAATGTGTCATGACTGACTCGCAGCTGAAATTGCATGAAGATTTAGGGCAACATCTGCAGAATATACAGAGTTATAGTCACCTTTGTGTTTTGATGGACATCTTGGATTGAATTTAGAGGCAGATTCACTCGATTTCCACATAAACTTTGAATTTATGTGGAAATCCACCATGTTTGTCTCCTTACACAGACTACAACCAGCTAAATGTAGATTAGTCTCATGACACAAGCTGCCATGTATTTTTTTTTTTTTTGGTGAGATTTTGTTTACATTGAGTGCATACCTGCATTTCAGTAAATATACCTGGACAACTACAAGTGAACTTTTTCTTCAGATTGAACCATGATATAGGCTATTCAATATAACAAACTTTTTTTGTGTTTGATTTAGTTTGCCAAGTAGTTGATTATTATTATTATTATTATTATTTATATTTTTGTAATGAGCTGGAAGGGGTCCAAACAATTCATATAACTCAATGACAATAACTAAGGACTATAAATACAGCCAATAAAAGTACGTGTGCAGCTGGTATGCAAAGGAGGAGTGAGCTTTAAACGTGACGAAGCTGGGCGTATATGTTTGTGTATCAGAGAGAGGGGGGGTTAGAGTTTGGGGCTATCGGACGTGCAGACACCCTCGCCCTGGGTGTCATTAAGACAGGAGTCGGATCAATGACACACGGTGGCTGAATTGTAATAAAAGACATGCAAACATGTGAAGTTGGCCTGACGCCTTGCAGCTGGGTAGAAGAGAAGCCGTCGCTGCTGCGCAGATGATAGACTTCATGACGGCGCTTCAGGTCATCCTTCACAGACTCACGTGCCCCCGAGACCACAGAGCGGTAAGCTGCCTTTTCTCATTTATCTCCGTGTGTGTGTGTGTGTGTGTGGGAAACTTGGCTTTGACAGGTTAGCCCACCGCAGCCCAGGCTCCGTTTGCGGTGACAGACAGGTTGCGTTTGAACTCGGAGAGGTGACAGTGTTTGTGGCGCGAGATGTAGAGGTGTGTCAGCTGGGTGGTGCACGTGGGTTGACCTTCCAGCTACCGTCGATAATCTCAAGTCATTATAGTTATTCAGTTAAAATCCTAAAAAGTCACTTTCACCACTTCTCTCAGTTTCACTTTCAGTTAGTTGGCTCCTCCCTTTTATGGTTCTTGGTAAAGAGCAAATTACACTCTGAGCAAGTCGGTCATAATAAACTGCTTAAAAAGGTTTTCTCAGTGGTAGATTTGGTCCAGCAGAACACTCCGAATGCATGAAGCCTGAGATTTTATGAACCAAACAATATGTTTCTGGAGAGTTTAGTACAAGATTGTTTTATAATATAATTTATCGACAGTTCACATTGCTGGGGTCGGGACCCTGCTGCTGCCTCCCCCGGCCTTATTCTCCTGAGTACCCACCCAGGTTTTTCCTTTTTCAATTCCCCTACCTATTTAGGAATATAACCTCATAAATATAAAATTGATATTTTAAGAATTAAGGGTTAAAAACAATCATTTATATTTTATACAAAATAAAAAATAAAATTAAAATGTATCACCTCTGAATCAGGACAACCAGTCTAAAAACAAAATGTTCTCAAAAAAAGATGGAGGTTCTCAGGAGATTAG